CAATCACTTCCCTGCTCCTGCTGGCCACACTGTTGCTGATAGAAGCCAGGATGCTGTTGGCCCTCTTGGCCACCTGGGCACACTGCTGGCTCATGTTTAGCAATCTTTCAACCAGCACCTCCAGGTTCTTTTCCACTGGGCAGCTTTCCCAGCCTGTAGCATTGCATGGGACTTTCGTGCACATAAGCTAGTAGGCTATAATAAGCAATCCTTTTGAGAGCTAGCTGTAAAAACACTGCAAGTATGGCTCCATAATAGTTAAAGGTGAGCTGAATCATAGAATGTTTTGGGTTGGAAGGGACCCCTAGAGGTCATCTAGTCCAACCCCCCTGCAGGAGCAGGGACACACCAAGACACCTCATTCTGCCTTTCCTGTTGTGATAGCTGCCGCGGAAAAAACAGGTTTTTTTGTTCTTTTTTGTTAATTAGTATTTTGTTAGTGTAGCATCCCAACTCAGCTCATCAAATGGTTATGTGAATGCCAGTGGTGTCCTTCCTTGACCTAGAACAAGTCTATGAGTTCCAAGACTATGTAACAGTTTTCTTTCTTCTTCATAACTTTTGCAGGTATTGGGGCTGCTGGTGTGGACCCTGATTGCTGGAACAGAATACTTTCTATATCCAGCCTTTGGCTGGGTGATGTTTGTAGCTGTGTTTTACTGGGTTCTCACCGTCTTCTTTCTGATCATCTACATGACAATGACCTACACCAGGATTCCCCAGGTGCCATGGACCACGGTGGTAAATACACTCGTTCTTTGTTGTTTCAGGTTTGCTGGGTTATGAAGAGACTAAAATATTGATGCATTCCACAGGTGTAGTTAGCCAACTGTACTTGTGCTTTTTGCAGATTTTTTTCCCTAATTACTGTCTGGCTGCATACCTGCAGTGTTTAACCTTCATACTACCCAGACACTTTTAAAACACTTTTCCTATGATGTTTCACTGTTTTATTCAGCGGTTGATATAGTGACTTGATTTTTAATAATGTGCGTGTGACTGATACTTATGCACAGTGGCCTCTTTTTCTCCCTGTGGTGATTACATCCCATGAAGAATGAGTCTGTTGCTGCCTCTGAGCTGAGAGACCCGGCCATATGGCTTAAACAGTAGAAATCCCTACTTGAATCAACGTCATGAATTGGAAGTGGGACCCTGGCTCTTTAAACATGAGTCTTCCTCTGCTAAAGTAAAAGCAAAGGTGGTTCAGAGGTAGCAACAGTCTGACAACCCATATATGGTCTACTCTGAAAGTGGTGCTGAAAATCAGTGATATATATATGTAAATACATGCCATGTAATCCTTTGCTTTCAGCTCAAGACTTAATGCAAATCAGATAAACAGCTAATGTAATTACTGAAAAATTTCACTTAAAATTGCACTTAAAATTCAGATCCAGTTTTTGTGGTTTGAACAAACCTGGCTAGCTGTACCTCTCAACAGTTTATTTTTATGTGATTTTCATAACAGACTGGTGTTCAGGGTAATAGATCCTAAAAGTCATTGTCCTCTCAGCCAACTAGCTATTTGTGAGCCATCCAAGAATTATACATTTTAGCTTTGCATTTGTCTGATACAGTGAGATACTGTTCTTTTTTTTTTTTTTTTTTTACTAGCTAAAGATTATTGGCTAGAATTCTGTTAATTTTATGATAAAATATATTTGACTTATGTGTTGCAAACAGCTTGTTATCAGCTATATTTTGTACGTGACTAAAATTGAATACTCTTTCCTTTTCATCTTCCCATTGCTGCTGTAATAAATAGCCAGCTATAGCAATTACTAATAAGAACAACCAGGGTTATGTTCAGATAGCTTCTCTGTTTTCAAGCTTCATGACCAGCAATTACCATTAAGGCTATAACACTGCTATAGAAATGTAGGATTATTTCAATTACAGCAGTAATGTGTCTGGGTACACTTAAAGGTGTGGGGTTTTTGTCCCCATTGCATTAGATGTAAGTAAAGTACATTCAAAGGGAAAGCATCCTTGTATCCATTTGGATACAGCTTTAGCCGCTACCCCTCTCATCAGTTTAACACTATTATCAAACAACACCTGCACATAAATGAGTTGCCCCTGATCTGTGTGGTAGACAAGCTGGAGTATTTGATTTGTTTCTACTTCATATCAAGTGTATTTCTTGCTCTGAGTTCCAAAGGTGTTGTAGATAAGATCACGTAAATATAGGTCAAAAAGGTAGTCTCCTTTTACAGTAAAGGGTATTATGAAGAGAAAATAAATGCCAAATAAATAAAAGATGCTTGCCTTCCCAGTTGTTTTGCCCTGAGGTATTAAAAGAGCTGTTGGGAACAGCCTTTGAATTGGACCTCTGCCACTTCTGGCTGGCCAAGAGGAATGTTGGGTCTCTTTCAGAGAGATGTTGTTGATGTTAATTCAAGAGAGTGCAACACACACCTTTTTGAGTGAATGAGTTTACACCCACTTTCCCCCTGTTCTCTGAAGTATCCTGAATTTCAGTCTCTGCTAGTTATTGCTCTGCCTCCTTAGGCGACAGTTAGCTCAAACTGTGCCTATTGTATGCAGTATCCAAAATTACATCTGGACTTCTCTGTCATAAATCAACTTTTTGCAGGTTAAGCACGTTACCAAATTGCTTAAGATGCAGTTACTTTTACTGCAAATTAACCCAAAGGACGTGCTTCAAAACTAACTCTCCTTAATAGTGCAAGTTCTTTGCTAAAACAATCAATGGAAGCTTTTAAAATCTGGTAAATTTGAATTTAAGAAGCAGATGGTAATTTAGCATGAACCATTTGGTTTGAGTAATATATTGGCAGTAAAGGCCCAATCAGCTTGCATTGCATTCCATCTTCCCCAACAGTGTTATTTCCCAGAGCAGCACTTCTCAAAAATTCTGTGCTTTTTTCTTTTCTACATGACCAGATATTGCAGGGATTTGTAGCTTTCCAGGGTAATTGGGTCTTTCTGGAACAAGAAATCTAAAAATAACAACAACACACACTCTAGGCAATCAAAATTGGAGTTTGAAAATCGGTGCTTTACAGATGTTCACCTGAACCCGCCAATTGTTGGCATCTTACCCTAAAATTGACAGTTTGATATTTTATTACTGTAATGCCCAGATAAAACAAGAGACGTGAGATCTGCGAATAGAGATAATATCTTTTATTAGATAACTGATATAGGTGAGATAAACCCCACTCATTTATAAGTGTATTAATTAAACCTCAAGTGCCAGGCCTTGGCTCTCTCCGAGTGCTGAGGCACTACCCACAGTTTCCTGCGGAAAGGTGGGTAAGTGGCACTTTTCCAAATGCCCTGAAGTTGCAAGGACTTAAGAACCACAGGAGGACGTGTACACCCTTCAGCCTACTCTGAAAAATGTAAGAAGGCTTTTTGCATGGGAAGCCTCCTATAGGCAGTGGTGACCTGAAGACAGAACGTTGACAGATGACAGCATAGCATGCTGCTCTCTGGAGAGGCCTGCGGTTGAGAAAGCACATGTTTTGGGGAATGGCCTTCCTTCAGAAAGTTTTGAACCCTGAGTGTCACAGGAGCATGTAGCAGTGGGCTGGACTCCACCGAGTCTGAAGTAAACTCTACCAGAACCAAATCTCCTGGAGATGGATGTGAGGAGCTTCCATACCAGCCACTCTAAGCTGTTGATCCATGCTTTGGTGCGCCGAGGGAATTGCTGATGTGGATACAGCTGTTGTTGCTGCCTTCTGAACTTCTCTTTTTGGGCTGCAGCTATTTTTTTAGATTCTGCCAGAGTTGGTGACTACTGAATTCAACAGTGAATAATTGGCATATATTCCTAGCAGCCACTGGGTCACACCATGGAAATTAGTAAGTTGGAGCTGCACCAGTATGGCAACATTTAGAGACAACTGGGGCAACAGAGTTAAGGGTTATGATATTTGTGCAACGCTCTGGAGTGCAAACATGGTGCCAGAAGCTGAAGGGAGCAGATCATGTACAACATTAGGACCTGGCCTAAACTGAGTTACTAATTCCTGCAATTTTAACTAGGTGCAAAGCATGTCATGGGTATTCCACTTAAAACTGGCACCAGTGAACTGAAATTTTATTTCATGGCCACATTCATATGTCTTAGACAAGTAGCAGGGTGGAGTTTGGGGGGATTTTTTAAAATTATTTTAAATAAGAATTAACTTCTCACAGCTATGACCAAGTAGTGAGTAAGTAAAGGACAAGGTAATAAAATTATGTACTTTAAAAAAAAAACCAACCCTCATACCTTTTTATCTGCTTTTAATCTTCTTAGGCTTCCATTCTCCCTCCCTTTCCTGTTCTCTCTCACATGCAAAACCTGAATAAACTGTTCTTGTTTGTTCTCTGTAGTGTTATGTGAGATCGACGTTACCTGCTTTGCTTCTTTCTTTCAGTGAGCATAGGTACCCTGAGACATTAACTCTGCTCCTTGGAAGAGAAAATGCAACATCTGCCATGGATGAGTCTTGATCTGCCATGTAGTACATTTCAACTGTTCTCCTCCTTAGTTTTATCTGTTTTTTTTCTCCTCTCAAAAACAAGCAGAAGGGAAAGGTACTGAAAGGTGGAAGAATACGACTGAAAAAATTACACCCTCTTTATCTCCTTCAGAAGTGGAGGAAACAAAGTTTTGGAAGCTTTACAAATATTCTTAATCTGCCACGAGTTACTGATACCTACAGTGTATCTTTGTGTAGATTAGAAATGTAATCGAGTTGCAGTTTTGTTTTGTTGCTTTTTTTTTTTTTTTTTTTTTTTTATGTAGCGTCATGTTCTTACTGCCTAACACTTAGATCATGATAACCAGACTTTGTCCTTATTTTCACTTTTGGAAAATCACCACACACCAGCTTTAAGACTCTTCTGGTTTTAGTGTGATGGAGAGAACAGTTTGTCCAAAATGTGCTTTAAAGTTTATCGATCTTCAGAATAAGCAGTTACATTTTAATCCTACAGATAGAAACTTGAAAGAAGGTAAAAATAATTAAGAATCACATTTCTTGTGTACATTGCATGTGATGTGTACGTTATATTTCAGAGTTTTGTAATGTTGGAATAGAAAATGATAACAAATGCATGCACATATTGATTACTTAACGTTGTTTGGTTTTTCAACAGGGTCTGTGTTTTAATGGAAGTGCCTTCATTTTGTACCTCATTGCTGCCATTGTAGATGCATCTTCAGTTACCAAAGAACTGGACAGTCACAATTACAACAGCTGGGCAGCTTCTTCAGTGAGTTCTTTTTTTTTGTTTAAATCAGTTCTATGTCCAATAAAGTTATATCAAAAGGAGGCTCGCTGGAGGTGCGGGTTGAAATGCATGTGTTCTGGATTTTGAAAAGCTGCAGACTGATATAGAAGCTTACACACAAAACCCGTAGGTAGCTGGAATTTAGTTTGTAGTTTTTGGAGGTGGCTAGAAATTCCATCTTGAGCTGACAGCCACATCAGAAAAGGCTGTAATGTTTTTAAGATCATACTGCTTTTCCCCTCTCCTGCCCCCATTTATTACTAGCTCTCTGGCAGAGGTTATAGCCTGCACATCGAAGTAGACAAAACAGATTGGGTGAGCACCAAGTCATCTCAATGCACTTGGACAACTTCAGTTTAAACTAATTCAGCTAACTTTGCACACGTGTGGATAAGGTGCATTTAGCTTTTTGTGGGCTGAGCTACATACACAGCACCTTTGGGAAGGTCCTGAAGTGCTATTGCTGTTTCTGCAGTGATCTTCCTGCTACAGCCTCAACTTTTGATAATCTTGCTTCCAAGTTGGGTGGGCAATACCTGAAAAATCATGTAAGTTCCCAGTGGTTTAAAGTGGATGCAAATCATTAATTAGTCTGATGTTACTGTCTTACTAGTTAGACTTGGAAATCGAAAGCAATCAGTCAATGTGGGTGAAAAACTTTTTTTTTTTTTTTAAATTTTTTTTTTTTTAAGAGCCCTGTCACTTTCTGAGTAGGTGAACGTATTCTCTAGCTAAGTTGAGGGGGTTGTAAAAGAACTTCTTGCGTGTTGTGGCAACAGCAGTCAAATTCAATTGTATAGAGTAATTCCATATTACAGCTGCTTTGCTGACTCTTCATGCTTCTGCAGTTGTCCTCTCTGGACTATTCACAAATCCTGTCTTCTGCCTGAAGCTTATTGTATATGGCCATGAACACAGAGACTTGAACACCTGCTCTGTTTTTGCCTTGGGAGTTGGATAACTACGTCCCTGTCACTTCAGTGGTGTTCAGGGTCTTCTCCCCTTGGCAGTTCGTAACTATTGATCTGTTACTCAGCCACTGCTGTTGACAGGAACTTGTTTGCCTCTAGGTAAGTTTCCACGCTGATTCACGTTTTACACAAAATGCATGAATGCTCAGTGTCTTGTGGGATGTTTGGAATCTCTTCTAATACCTCCTAATAGTGTTTATCTAATGCACTGTCTAAATAAACTATTAAATGTAGATTATTGCTTTCTGAACCCATTAAGGGTTTCATGGGTGGATGTTTGTGAGAAATAGCAAATCATCTATCCCCAATAGTTGTTCTCTGTTAGAAAGGTTTTAGATGGAGCTTTTATTTCATAAGAAACGAAATTATTGGAAAAGAAGAATGCTACAATTTTCTATTGTAATAATATTTCACATCATCATCTACAGTTAATTAATTACATTAAATTACATTAGATAAGGCTCACCAAGAGCCCTCTGTTGGAGGGCTTATGTTTACTGCCTGTATGCATGCTTAGTAGTGCCCTGCTTTCAAAGCTGAAGTGCCTAACCAGGCCAATGATGGTATATAAGCGAGAAACATTGGTAGAACCATCAAACATTTTTAGGCTGGAAGGGACCTCTAGAGGTCATCTGGTCCAACCCTCTCTCCCCTGAAAGCAGGGCTAACTCATATCAGGCTACCAGGGCCATGTCCATGTCCACTTGAGTTTTGAGTATTTCCAAGCATGGCTATTCTATAATGCCTCTGGGCCTCTGTTGCCATGTTTGATTACTTTCATTGTGATTTTTTTTTTTTCCCCTCCCCCTAATACCTAATTGAAATTTCCCCTCTTGTAACTTGCATTTGTTCCCTCTTGTCTATCACTGCTCACCTCCAAGAAAAGTAGTGTTAATCCTATTTGCAGTGTCAGCTTTATTTGGTTCAGTTGCCAGCACAAAACATTCTGGTCTTATCATAAGACCATTTTGCACATTGTCTATTTTGAACAACATGCAGTGATTAACAGGAACTTAACCACTGGCACTGAATTGGACTTTATCGGTACAACTGAAATAGTTCACAGCTGTTCTTTGGTTTCTGTGTGCATATGCTGCAAGGACTGCAGAAGCAACAGCACTGCTACTGTGTAGTTTTAATCTTTAAACGTAAAATAAACCCAGCCCGCCACAGAAGGCTTATTCTGTAATCCGTTTCTGACAAAGTAGCGGTGTCTTGGCGTGGTTGCTGTCACTGTTATTTGCACTGAGGAATACCTTTATTCATCAGCAGAGAACCTCTGGTAACCTAATCGGTACTGCTGTTTGAGAGCATGTCTGGGCCTGGATTTGAATCCAGGTTTTCTCTGTGAACGAGTTATGTCCACGCACAGCGTGCCATGCTGCGGTACAGGTGGGCTGTAGGCAATTCCTGGAAGATAGCAGCAGTGCAGGAGCGTTAGCTTGAGCTCATGCTGTCCCACGGACCATCCCTCAGTCTTTACCAGCAACTGACGTTACAACCAATAGGATTGGTGGGAGTCCAATCTATAAGATCCATACTGAGGCAGCATGATGTGGAGATACGAGTTGAGATATGCCACGTTTCATCTGCTTCTAGGCCCATATTTCTATGCATAATATAAGCTTATTTACGTGGTGCTGACTGTGACGGCCACACAAGTACAAGGAGGTGACAGAGTGCCATTTTAGTCAGCATGCTGTTTCTCCTTTTTCCAGATGCCATAGCTGGTGGGTTTGGGGGTTTTTTTTGTTTGTTGTTTTTTTTTCATAGAAATTACAGTGCTGTCAAATATATTTTTTTTCCTAATTCTTTTTTTTCCCCTTTCTCTACAGTTCTTTGCCTTTGTGGTTACCTCCTGCTATGCTGGAAATACGTATTTTAGCTTTATATCTTGGAGATCACGAACTTTGCAGTAAATATTTTGTTAAAATGAATTCTGTAGCATAAAATATCTTGAGGGTTCTACTCTTAAAAGCTTGGAAGAGGGATGAGGTCTTTTTGAACATTTCTGTTAGAATTGACACTATATTTTAAGCTGAAATGGAAATGATTATTTATATTACAATACTATCTTTAGAGACATCTAACACCGACTTTGTACTGTATAATAAAATTTCATACCACTTCTTTTAAAATTAACATGGTATTTTTCTAGACATTGTATAGATGTTATTACTAAAGCTTTAATAAATCTTACTCAGACAATGTGTGAATTTTGTAAATGTAACTTTTTTTTTATGTTACAGGTATACTTTTGATACTGAATGCTATAAACCAAAACTACTGTCTTGTTATTATGTATAAAAAGTGACATTGTGCAGAAAAAAACCACCCAAAACTTAAAAAATAAATAAATAAATGACCCAACTGTGCCTGTTTTGTAAACTGCGAGTAGAAGGTTGCTTTTTAAATTCATTTTTCAAAATAGTAAAATATATACTACTAAGTATTCTGATGATCCTGTCAGTTTGCATATCCTAACAACCTCTTGCAATCATGAGAGTGCTTTTGGAACCTGTTACTGTAGGTCTGAAGCTCGCTGAAGGAATGTTGCACCTGAAACACGTTATCTTAACAGGTTTCTCAAATCCAGCAGGCTCCAAGGCATAAGTCTAGACAACAGTCCCTTAGTGCTCAGTGTTTAACCTACTGAGGATATCACAAAACACCTACTAAAGGTATTACATTTTGTTTCTCAGGGGACTCTGTTTTTCTCTGTTCTCAGAGTAGGCCATTAATCTGTCCTAATTAAAATCTGGGCGTCTAAATCCTATTAAATGATATGAAGATTAAATCCATAAAGATTAAATCTGTAGAAGAATTGTCAAGATGCCAGTGCTAAAAAAAAGAATTTCCTCCCTCCTCTACTGTCTACTGGCATCATCTGTGAATTGTTAGTTTAACAAATGAAGTTTTTAATTTGACGCTCAGATTTAAATATCTTTGAGTCAAGCATAAGTATGACAGAAGATTATGACTTTCAGAACAGACACCTTTGAAAATGACTTTCAAATACAAATTATCTAAGGAATTTTTTCCAGGAATTACGTGGAGTGTAAGGTCATGATTATTTTCTGGTATTATTTAAAGTTTTTCTCATTTAAAACTACTGGTAAATCTTTTATTACTGGATTAAGAAGATTTGAACTCTCTTCCAATCTTCAAAAACTTGGAGGATTATATATGGTAGTAGAGAAAACTTACTGCTTAAACCCCCTTATTTCTCCCTGTAACTAAACGGGTGTTTGCTTACTTACATGCATGCCCTGCAGCAAAGAAGATTTATCAGCAGCCAGCTAGTTCTGTTCTCAATCACATTGTTTTGTTCTTTATTATCTGTTGGAGTCACAGGATTCCAGTGTAAGGGAAGCCAAGATATTATTTTAAAACCCATATTTGTCTGCAGATTGCATCTGGCCTGTACAACAAAGGTCAGGCTGTCTGCTGCTTACTAAAATTATCCAGTTGTGAGAAGGAAGAAGGGCTACCAACTATGCATTTTATCTACACAGATAAAATGTGTCATTAAAATCCCATATGCTCTTTTCCATTGCTGGAAAAAAATCAAAGGCATAAAAATGATCCAAATGTCAGCTGATAAAACGTGACTAGAAATATAGCCAGAATTAAAATCTCATCAGTGATTTCTCATCAGTAAAAATGTTTTCATAGTAATAGGAATTCTTTCTTAAATGATACTTGATGTACCTATATTAAAGGGACTATAAATGTGACTCTGTTCACACAAATGTTTCATGATTTTGTGGTAACTGTGATGGTCTGGTCTAAAGTCATAACCCAGACGACATTTGTGGATAGAGGTAGCCAGAGAGCAGAGCTAAGAGGCAGTAATATGTTTCATCCCGTTTATCAAAAACTGTCATGGAAACTGTGTGTTACGTGTCAGAATAAACCCATGAATGAAGGACAAACCCACACTATTACCAGGTAAGGAATGATTCTGGCAAAATATATCTACCACCTCTCCGAATCTTCAGTGCTGATCCTCAAGGGAGGATGTGTGGAATGTCTTCCAAAGGCAAATCTGTGAGTTGAATCCTTAATTCTGAACTTTAAAAAAAACATATTAGGCAGAAATTTGCTTTATGCTTGGCCTTGCTTTTTTTTTTTCCCCCCCATAATCCATAACTTACCCACTTTGCTCTTTCCTTTTAGAAAGATAATTATCTTACTTCCTGTGCTCTTTCTCATCTGTCTCATTTCTCAGCTGTTTCCCAGGTACCAACTGTCTGTTTTTCAAGTGCTCTGAATATCAAGTTAAAATTGGAGGAATCGGTACAAGCTGAGAATTACTTTGGAAGTTTGGTCCTCCTATTTCAGGCCTGAAGAAAGGCTTGAGAACCCAAAAGGTTATCTGTTTCTTCCAGTGCATTAGCCTTAAATACTGATTTGCAAACTATGACTTACGCCTTTGTGTATTCTAATACCAATAAAGAAGATAAGCTAGCTGTGGTTTATCGTGTGACAATTAAAATTAGAATTGTGGCTGTAGGCATTGCTCGGTGTTCATAAGATTGAAAGAAACCTTATTTAAAGGAACAACTGGTAAGTGATGAAATCATTAGTGAGATTCTTAATACAGATACTTAGAAGGAAAGACAATGCTAATCAGCTTGCAAAATGAAGGTATTTGACATTATAACTAACTTGTTTCAGACAGGCTTTCTCAAAAATCTTAAGTCACCCACATACATAAGGATACTTAATGTCAACTGCTGACCATCAAATTTCACTTATTAAGGAGTTGTCGGTACCTCTTACCATCCTCATACATGATGAGGATACATAACAAGATGAAGTAAACAACATGGGAACTGTAAATCGGTACCTCTTACCATCCTCATACATGATGCACTTAACAAGATGAAGTAAACAACATGGGAACTGTAATAAAAACTTGAAATTCGGCCGTGTTTTAGACTTTGTGCCAGTGGCTTGCAGAAGATGCCAGTATTTCTGAGCAGGAAATATGACTGTTATTCTACTTGTATTGATTTAAAGGTATTTCTGTTTCACTGGGCTGAACTCGGGTCATCAGGGCCCCAGTCATATACACACTTATAAAAGAAGAGCTAAAGCAGCTGAATCGGCGGGTAAGAAAAATGTATTTCTTAATAGGAAGTACAGAAATTACTAGAACCTTCTTCCACTGGGCTTGCAAGAAGCCTGTAAACGTGCACGCTTCTGAACTTGAGCTGTAAAAAGAAAAAAGAGGAAAAAAAGGAAGGAAGAAAGCAGCTGTTAAAAAGAAAAGCTCTTTCTCAGCAGCTAGTATTTTACTCTTGTGTAGATTGGCAATGTTGTAGCTTTGGTATCTAATGAAACAAGATAAAATTTGGTGGGACAGGTACTATCTTTTATTGCAACTACTAGCTGGCTTAATGCAAGTCCAAAACTTACGTACCACTTAAGTCTATTACAGATCATTGCCTACACTTGGCAAACCCTGTCTTGCTCATGTAAATTACTTACGCTGGCGCCTTATTTGTGTTGGAGATCATCTGACCTTACCTGTCTTCCCTTCCTAGGACGATTTTAGTTGCTGAAGGAGCTATTAAATACCAAATCCGAACAGAACATGTGTCCTAAGCAGAAGATGAGGTTACTACTGTTAACGAGTATAAAAGTGGCATATGCCCAGCTCAGAGGCCCGCTGTTACCTCACTTGTCAGAAAGCAAAACAAGTTATTTTTAAACTTGAGGAAATATATGGCTTCCTTTGCTGAGTTTTGTTAGTATTTCTGCATGATTTAATTTAAAAGATGGGGTTGAGGCATTTGGACTGTCATTACGGTTTTGCCTGTCGCTGCCCATTTAGTGCAAATGTGTTCATATTTTACAAGACCATGAATCCGAAGGTTTGGGGGTTTTTTGGTTGGGTTTGTTGTTGTTGGTTTTTTTTTTTTTTTTGTGAGAATAAATGTTGTGTGGGAAGGCGCTGCTCGCAGCTGTACCTCGCCTGCGAAGCACCGGAGCTGCTCCCCTCCCAAGAACATGGCTGGCAAACTTTGGGCACACCGAGGGGTCTTCCACCGCTCGAGTAAAACCGGCGGCCGGTTCGGTGCGGAGCTCCCCCTCGGGCACCCCACAAAATCGACAGCGAGGGGTCCCTCTCCCTGCTCGCAAACGCTCGCTTCGGCCTCCGTTTTCACGTAACGCAGCTGCCGGAGGGGGACGGCCGGGCGCCCCGCTG